GGGCTTGGTTTCTATAATAAGAAGCAGCTGATTATTTACATGGAAGGAAGCTATATAGTGAAAGAAACAAATTCACCTCTAAAACATGTTAGTTATTATATCTCTCTATCCCTTTATAAAGTATATACTTCCAGGAACCTCTTTTCTCTAAACATTTTCTCTAAAGATTAATGAGCTGAAAAGCAGAATGGGAAAAGAAAAGGAGTTTTCAGCATATGTGCTTAATTTGCTTATCTCTACTGTTTACCCAAACCTTGTTGGACATCTAAAAGGTTAACAGGATATGTACAAAGGATGGGTAAATATTTTTATGGAAAACGTACGTGACTTTCAATTATCATCATCTGTATTTTTCAGAGATTAGATTAATAAGACATGACTAAATGACCTTATTCTGTGACAGAAACTAGAAGACACCCAGTTTGTAACTCCAAAGAGTATCAACAAATAGAAAGGCCTGCCATCAACTTTAACGGAAGCATCTTCCTACCCTTATTCATCCATCCATTAACAAACTGAACAGAAAACAAAACAAAACAAAAATTAAAATAATGTTTTGGTGAGTTTATTGTCACTCTCTAAAAATATATGAGAAAATCTGTTCTCAGATTCCTAAACTAATTCTTTTACATATCAAGATAGCATCCTCAATGGCAGGATACTTTGGGAGGCCTTCCAGTGTAGCTATGAGATCTGAATTATTAGATATACACATACTCTTTTGTTTGGTTCATCTTTTAAAGGACAGCAGCATGAAGTGAACATAAATTTCATAGCTCAAACATACTGTATAAAACTGACTACAAAAACCTCATACAGAAACAGCACTGTTTGGAAAAACTGATGACACATACATTTCCAGTTTTCATTAGAATGAGAGTTTTTATTTTAATGTGAAGAAAATATTCATACCATACATAATTATATAAATAACACTAATAGCAAATGAAGGTGGAATCAAAAAGGAAAGAAATATTTTTTCTTCAAGATTTTCTCCATATGATTTCAAAGCAATGGCACATGAAAAAGGTAAACTATGCTATGATCTAAATATCTAAAATCTAAGATATTTAGAATAAACATTAACTTGTTTTACAAAATATATTAATGATTCTGGAGGGGGGCATCCCTTATTGTTGGTAGAAAAGCATTTTCACTGGAAATCAGAAGGTTGATGGTGAACGGGTTGGTGAAATGATAAAGTACACACTCAGATCATTTCTGCTGTGAGCTATGGAAGGGTATGAACATATGAACCAGCATACTGAGCCTACCATCTATCTTTTAATCTCTGACAAAGGCACCAAGAGAAGTGATTATGGAGGAAGACAGGGTGTCCTCCGTGGTATCTTCCATAAATTAAGTTAGAAATAGATATATCCTCACAAATATCCTTATTTCCCTTAAAAAATCCAGTAGTCCCAGAATCAATTTATAAAAACTCATTGCAAAATTTCTTTTCTGTGGGTTCTAAAACATGCCACCTGCTATAAAAGGTGGAAATTTATTTTCTGTTACCTATATGTTTCTCTTTCAAGACTCAGGGTATCTCTACTAGTCTAAATGTCTTCACTTTAACTCATATCCTTTGCAATTTCATAAACTTGGATCATATGCTCCTTCACAGAGTTCATCTTTTAAGATTACAGAGATCCTTAGTAAATATTTGAACATTTTAAGTTCTTTAATCCATTAATTACTTTAACTACCTTTACCTCCTTTCTTACCTACCTACCTTTACCTGTCTTTCTTGAAATATGACAATGAAAACTACACAAAATAATAGAGATGTGAATCCCCCATAGTTTTATACAAAGATGGGATATTTTCTCTTTTGTTTTCAAAACTATTTTCAAGGAACTCAAAATCCTAAATAGCACCTTGGTGCTCTGAATGAATTAAATTACCCAGAAAAAAGAAAAAAAATTAATAAAGAGAATTATTTAAAGAGAATTCTCATGTATATATTTACAATAGATTCTTCTACTTGTAGCCCAAAAGTTACTGGTAACATGTAGTTCCACTTCCTTCTAAACTCTGGCCAATTCAATCAATAGGCATAAAATACCTTAAAGCAGCAGGAAAGGAATCTCAATAGAATCATGTGAAATAAGAGCAACTAGCAAAATTTTCTATGATCTAAGGTCACAACAACTAACTGGTTTAAACGTTGTTTTTCAGAATAAAAGAATATTTTAAATATGAATATATTTAGTGTCAGAAACAAAAAGTAAAACAAAAAAAAAACTTAAAACACAAAACTTGTCCTAAAATGTAAGTAAATAGTATCACATTTACTTTCAAAGTCATTCAAAGAATAAAAAGAGACTCTTTTGTTATAACTAATAAGTTATCATAAGCAGCCAACTACTGACATACAGATTTAAAAATTAGCAGGATAAAAACGTCTCAGATGTGATCATTATTTTTTTGTTGTTTTTTTGTTTTATTGTATTTTAGGTTCTGGGGTACATATGCAGATCATGCAGTATTGTTGCATAGGTAACATACATGGCAATGTGGTTTGCTGCCTCCATCTCCCTGCCACCTACATCTGGCATTTTTCCCCATGTTATCCCACCGCAACCTCCCCACCCCGCTGCTGTCCCTCTCTTGCCCCCTCCAACAGACCCCAGTGTGTGATGCTCCCCTCCCTGTGTCCATGTGTTCTCATTGTTCAACACTGGCCTATGAGTGAGAACATGTGGTGCATGATTTTCTGTTCTTGTGTGAGTTTGCTGATAATTATGGTTTCCAGATTCATCCATGTCCCTACGAAGGACACAAACTCATCATTTTTTATTTCTGTATAGTATTTCATGGTGTATTTAAAAAAAAAGACAAAAATTCATTCTATATGCACACCAGCTGTAGTTTTCCCTTATCACCATATTGTACACAATATGTAAACCCACCAAAATAATCTATTCAAAAAACCCACCAAAATTTTGTAGAGAAAAAAGACTTGTACATTGAAAACTATAAAACGTTGCTGAAAGAAATTAAAGAAGACATAAATAAATGAAAAAACATTCATGTTCATGGATTGGAAGATTTCGCTTATTAAGATGACAGTACTACTCAGAGTGATCTACAGATTAAATACAATGTCTATCGAAATCTCAATGGCTTTTTTTTTCTAAGTAATAGAAAAACCCATCCTAAAATTCATATGGAATCTCAAGGGACTCCGAATACCAAAAATAATCCTGGAAAGGAAGAACAAATTTGGAAGTTGTATACTTTGATTCCAAAATTTACTATAAAACTACCACAATCAAAACAGTGTGATGCTTGCATAAGGACAGACATATGGGCCAATGGAATAGAACAGAGAGACCAGAAGTAAATCCTTGCAAATATGGTCAAATGATTTTTAATAAGAGTGCTAAGGCCATCCAATGGGGAAAGTAGAGTCTTTTCAACATTGGTGCTGAAAAAACCGGATATTCACATTCAAAAAATTGAAGCTTAATCCTTATCTTACATTATATACAAAAATTAATTCAGAAAGAATCAGATACCTAAAAGTAAGACCTAAAACTGTAAAATGCTAGGAGGAAAACATAGGGGAAAATTCACGACATTGGACGTTACGATAAATTCTTAATTGTAACACCAACACAGGCAACAAAAGAAAAATGATAAATTGGACTTCACCAAAATTAAAAATTTTCGTACATCAAAAGATGTATAAAATCTTATTATTAAAATGGTAAAAAGAAAACCCACAGAATGAATTTAAATGTTTGAAAATCATATATGTGGAGAATGCAATCTACACCCAGAATACATTAAAAGACTTCTACAACTCAACAACAAAAAGTCAATTAAAAAAAAATAATAAAAGCTCAATTAGAACATGGGTAAGGACCACAGCCAACATCATACTGAACAGAAAAATGCTGGAAGCATTCTCCTTAATAACTGGAATAAGATAAGGATGTCCACTTTCACCATTCCTATTCAGCATAGAACTAGAAGTCCTAGCCAGAGCAATCAGGAAAGACAAAGAAATAAAAATAGGAAAAGGGGGAGTCAAGCTATCTCTCTTCACAGATGATATGTTTCTATACCTAAAAATCCCCACAGACTCCACCAAAAGGCTGCTAAATGTGTTAAGTGACTAAAGTTTCAGGATACAAAGTCAATGTACAAAAATCAGTAGCACTTCTATACACTAATAACATCCAAACTGAAAGCCAAATCAAGAACATAACCCCATTTACAACAGTCACAGAAAGAATAAAATATCTAGGAATACAGCTACCTAAGGAATTAATTTTCTCTACAACAAAAATTATAAAACACTGCTGAAAGAAATCAGAGATTACACAAACAAATGAAAAAACATTCTGTGCTCCTGAGAATTATGGTTGTTAAAATGGCCATTATGCCCAAAGCGATTTACGGATTCAATGCTATTCCTATGAAACTACCAACACCAGTTTTCACAGATTTAGAAAAAACTATTCTAAAATTCATGTAGATTCAAAAAACAGCCTGACTTGCCATGCAATCCTTAGCAAAAACAACAAAACCTGAGGCATCACACTACCTGACATCAAACAAAGCCACAGTAACCGAGACAGCATTTTTATTCTTTCTGTGGCTGTTGTAAATGGGATTGTGCTCTTGATTTGGCTTTAAATTTAGATGATACTGGTGTACAAAAATGCTAGTGATTTTTGTACTGTATTTTTATAGCTATTAATCAACCTCTTTTCACTCCTCCTTTCTCCTTACCCCTCCAGACTTCTGGAAAATAAATATCTCTTGAAAAACAGCCCCTGGTATGTTGTACATGTCAGATATCCTAGAATGTACTTTCAAAAGCTCCAAATAATTATAATTGCACCTTAATTTGAATAATTTGATTACTGTTTCGGTTCTTTACCTACATAATAAAAAGGTCATAACAAGAAGATATCTATAAATTCTGCTGATAGGCTAAGCATATATACTTGTAGTCCAAGTGCTGCTAAAAATGAACACTGTACCTGATAGAGCATAATAGGTTCTATGTTGTATCCTAAGGTATCAGCAAAGTTCTTAGCAATCACTGTTTTTCCACAACCCTACAAATGGAAACACAATTATTCAAGGGGTAAGTCAAAATAACCAAAAGCTAGGAAACTAAAAGTCTGCAGTGAGACGTCATTCTTACCTTTCCTCCAATTAAACATATATCCTTAACCATGTGAGACTGCATCATTTCAGCCTGTAGCTGCTTATGGCTCAAAGTCTGTATGAAACGGTCCGATGCACAAGGTTGACCTAATGGCCTGGTCCCGGCTGGCACCTATAATTAAAGAGAGGTCAATATAACATGGCCAGGCACAGTGGTTCACGTTTGCAATCCCACCACTTTGGGAGGCCAAGGTGGGCAGATCACTTGAGGTCAGTAGTTGCAGACCAGTCTGGCAAACATGGTGAAACCACGTCTCTACTAAAATAGAAAAAAATTAGCTGGGAATGGTGGTACACACCCAACTACTTGAGGGGCTGAGGTAGGAGAACAGCTTGAACCTAGGAGGCAGAGATTGCAGTGAGCTGAGATCATGCCACTGCACTCTAGCCTGGTCAACAGAGTGACACTCCATCTTTAAAAATACATACATACATACATACATACATATATATACACATACACACACAGAGATATATATGTATACATGTAAAACATGCATATGTTTTTCTCAAAATATCAGTAACTTAAAACATATAACTGCCACTTAAAAGTCCCCAACTAATAGCTTGCTCAATTTAATTCTTTACTATTTTTGATATTTCAATAGAGCAGCAACTATTTTTTCATTTCACAGATCTGATGATCATTATTAGAAAACTTCCAAATCAATTATTTCTCTAAAATTAAAGGACATGCTGCCCGACATATTCAAAAAAATCACATCATCTTAATGCTGTTTATAACTTATTATAAAGATGTCACTACTGGAAAATAAATTTTTTCCCCAAATTCTAGTTGTAAGCACAGAATTTAAAGTTAGTTCATTGAAATCTCTAAAGTCACCAATGATCTTCTGATTTCTAAAAGTCCACAAATCCTTTTCAGGTTTATCTTAATTTACCACTCAGAGGCATCTGTTCACAAATTCTCTCTTCCCATCTTTTCCACCTACTTCTCCTTTTATTTTTTATTCATCCCTATTAGTTCCCAAGGAACATGCTCTGCTGAGGACTCTGGGCTGATATGTACCACATGAACCAAAGAATTTTAAGTTTGGAAGCGATAAGATCAGACTTGCATTTAAGAATTTATCCTGGAATTTATCATGGAAAGCTAACTGGAAGAGACAATGAGGTTAAAAAGCTGTTACCAAAGGGAAGCAAATAATGAAGCCTTGCTCACAGCTCATGCTTCTGAACATATTGTTTAAACTGCCAAAAATGTCTTGTCCACTCCTGAGCCACTGGAAAAATTCTATGTTATTCTTCCAGGGTTAGCTCAAGCTTCACCTTCTCTCTGAAGCTTTCCCTATTCCATCTCCTGAATCCCAGTATTACTTCCTTCTCCATATCCCCAGTCATTCCAATGCAGTCTTAACTCATCTGCCCTATCCTAAACTATCAGCTAGACGAGCCATTCATCTGAATAAAACAGAGAGTACAGAGGGAAGAGTCCCTGTCTAGAAATCCCAGCTGTGCCATCTCCGAGCTGGTGACTCTGGATGAATCAATTAACCTCTTGTCATCGCAGTTTTCTACTCTACAAAATGGAGATAATAAAACTTACCTTCATGGATCTTGGGGGATTTAAATGGCATAATATATGCAAAGAGACAAATACAGTGAGTAGTATACAGTAAAATCATAATGTGAACCTAGCCCATGGTAGACATAATCAATATTCAATTGAATGAATAAGTACAGTAACATGAATTAATATTAATATCAAATATTAAAATGAAAAAGTTTTTCATGAGCTGGGCACAGTGGCATGCACCTGTAGTCCCAGCTTCTCAGGAGCTGAGGCAGGAGTATTGTTTGAGCTCAGGAAATCAAAACAAGCCTGGGCAATACAGTGAGCCTCCATAAAATGTGTGTATATGTATCCATATATATATATATATATAGATGGAATGGAGCTGATATATATATATATATATATATATATATATATATATATATATATAACGTGTATATGCAGATGGAGCTTTATGGCCAAATATTATTTCCCTCTTCTAAAAATCATTCAACCAGAGCAGGTCCTCTTTAAACTGTTTCACATAGCTAAGAAAGATTTTACTTGAAAACAGGGCTCTCTATCAGGTAAAATATGTTTCAAAACACTATTTCTTAACAAGGACTCATGGTAAAAAAAAGCTGTTATTAATCAACCCTTGACTTGATTTTCCCAGAGGTCAACTTTGGATTTTTGATGAAAGGCTTTCCCTATGTTTCTCCTGAACTTTTCCAGTGTGTAAACACACATGACTCTGGAGACATAGACATATGGATACAGACAGAAGCAGTATTATCAAGAAAGAAGGCTTATAAGGGATCATAAACCCAATTTAGGTCACAGAAACAAGCAGAACAAGGTACAGCTTAGAAAGAATAAACCTGTGTTTCATTACCTTAATGGTCACCTCTTTATCTGCAATCCGGATGGTCACAGAAGCTTGCGAGACATGGTTTTCTGTCATCTTCTCTACTCTTACAATTTCTTTAGGATGTAGAGAGCTTCCTGAATCTTGAAGTTCAAAGCGCTGTAAAATTACAAGAAAATCATGTAATTTACTTTTCATTTTAGCATTAACATTGGCTATCTGAAAGATTACACCTTAATTACAACTGAAATCCATTTTATATTATTATATAAAAGTAGAGGTTAAAAAAACTTAATGAGAATTTTTTTCTATTTGTACTTATACCATTCTACTTATACCAATTATTAAAGATGATATAAAATAATCCTTAAAATTTGCTAAATGACAAGAAATGGAATTGCTGAGTTCCTGACCTGGTTGAAGTTCATAGCTTACATTTCTTCATAATCAACTTCCTAGAAAGAGATACTAAGACCCTTCAAAACATGCTGAAATAAAACAAGGCCCTATCAGTTTATTCTTGAAATCAATCAAAGCTAATGTGTTATCTGAAATTCACGAAAACAGAATTTCTTGGACATCATTCTGCTGTATACTATGTAAATAGCTTAACTAATTAAAATTATTATAACAATTTTCCACAGCATATGGTACAGTGCCTTCTACACTGTAGGGGTCTCAATATTTGTCAACCTGGATTTAAAAGGCTAGAACCACCAGGCACAGTGACTCATGCCTGTAATCCCAGCACTTTGGGAGGCGAAGGCAGGTGGATCACCTGAGGTCAGGATTTGGCGACGAACCTGGTCAACATAGTGAAATCCTGTCTACTAAAAATACAAAAATTAGCCAGGCATGGTGGTGCACAGCTATAGTCCTAGCTACTCAGGAGGCTTAGGCACGAGAATCCCTTGAGCCTAGAGGCGGAGTTTGCGGTGAGTTGAGATCACGCCGCTGCACTACAGCATGGGCAAAAACAAAAACTCCATCTCAAAAAAAAAAAAAGAAAAGAAAAAAAGGCTAGGACCATTGATTCTTGATGTGGCCCAACTGTCAATGTTCTAACACTGACTATACCACCACATTCCAGGTAGTTACATCAAAACTGTGTACAAAGAATACAGATAAGTATGTGAAAGATGAGAATAAATTGATAATTAAGTTCTATGTCCTACTTATAGCCACATGTTTAATACAAAAAACTGAATTTATTTTTACTATTAAATAGTCAGAAGTTACCCCCAAAAGTGCTACACTAGTTTTGGAACATTATTACTATAGCGAGAGTTGAAACTCAATGAAATAATAGATCATCATGTATTCAGCAGAATGAAAGAACTCCAGAAAACAGATTTGGGAGGAAGGAAATCATGTTCAACCTCAACATTCTAAACATAACAGCCCAGTTCAAGTCCTCATTTTGATGTCATAGTACTCAAGACAATCACTAATTCCTTTCCCCAAACCCAAAAAAACCTGTGTATTTGTACTACCATTAAAAAGTTCTATATGTCATACAATTTATATATGCAAATCCCCCTAGTGTTACATAACTGGACAAGAATTGCTTCCATGTTATAGACAAATAGCAATTATTGACATCTTAATTTCATGAAAATAAAAGTTCCACTGTATTTTAAGAAGGACTCAATAGGAAAAAAGTAAGGCCTACCCAAGTAATTAAATTCATTAGAATTCAGAACCAATGGCTTGCCACAGTGGCTCATGCCTGTAATCCCAGCACTTCAGGAGGCAGAGGTGGGCAGATCATTTGAGGTCAGGAGTTCAAGACCAGCCTGGCCAACATGGTGAAACTCCATCTCCACCAAAAATACAAAAATTAGCCAGGCATGGTTGTGCCTGCCTGTAGTCCCAGCTGCTCAGGAGGCTGAGGCAGGAGAGTCACTTGAACCTGGGAAGAAGAGGTTGCAGTGAGCCAAGATGTGCCCCTGCACTCCAGCATTGGTGACAGAGTGAGACTCTGTCTCAAAAAAAAAAAATTAGAGGGACTCTCCAAGATGGCTGAATAGACAAAACTCCAGTGCACAACACCCAGTGAGAGAAATGCAGAAATCCAGAGATCTCCTAGCTCCAACTGAGGTACCAGGTGCATTTCAACCAGTCTGGTCCAACAGTGAGCAAAGCCCACCCAGGGCAAAAGGAGGCAGGGAGGGGTGATGCTTCACCCAGAAAGTGCATCTGACCAGCGAGTTGGAGGCTACTCCTCTGGTATTCCAGTCCAGATACATCGCTTCCCCCAAAGCCTCAGCAATACACAGAACAGGGTATCTTTGCCAGTCAAATGCCGGGAATTACAGGCGTGGAGTTGAATAATAATTCAGGACAGTGTCCTGGATTGGCGCACAGACCTAAACAGATGCATAAGCCCAAAAGGTGGCTGGGAGAGCCTGCAGACCAAGCTATCGACCCCTCCCCCTGCCCAGAGAGAGGGGGAGCCATATGCAGGAGCAGCTGGGCGGGCCCTTACCCCATAACCAGAGAGACAGGAAGCTGAAAGGGGGAGACAGCTGGGTGCAGCTGGGCGGGTACAACCCTCCCCCACAAACCCCAGAGGGCTGAAGCTCTGACTCTAGTGGGTTGCACAGCCAGTGCCACAGTCTGAGCTGAACCTGAATGATCCAGGCCAGTGGAGGAAGGGCACAACCCACCATTAGAGGGGTGGGACTGGGCTACATGTCTTAACAAAAAACACAGGAAGCCTACATAGCAACGGGACTGTGTTCTTGACTACCCAGCAGTGCCGCCAGGTCAGCGGAAGAGGTGGGCCTAAACCCCCAGTGTAAACAAAAAAGAAACAGGAATCTTCCCTAGAACCTGAAGGAGTCCCTAGAAACCCAGTAGCACCTCAACAGGCAGAGAAACGACCTCATCAAGCAACTCCATGAGACCACAGCCAGGTAAATCCACAAAGATGGGAAAAAACCAGCACAAAATATATGAAACCAGCAAAGACCATAACACCTCTTCTCCTTCAAGGGATCACAACTCGTCAACAACACGGGAACACAACATGACCATGAAGGAGTGCAATGAATTGACAGAAACGGGCTTCAGAAGGTGGATAATAACAAACTTTTCTGAGCTAAAGGAACACGTTCTAATTCAATGCAAAAAAACCAAAAACCTTGAAAAATGGTTAGATGAAATGCTAACCAAAATAACCAGCTTAGAGAAGAATATAAACGACTTGATGGAGTTGAAAAACACAGCAGGAGAACTACGTGAAGCAAACACAAGTTTTAATAGCCGAATCGATCAGGCAGAAAAAAGGATATCAGAGATTGAAGATCAACTCAATGAAATAAAAAGAGAAGGCAAGACAGGAGAAAAAAGAGTGAAAATAAATGAACAAAGCCTCCAAGAAATATGGGATTATGTGGAAAAACCTATTCTACGCTTCATTGGTGTACCTGAATATGATGGGCAGAATGAATCCAAGCTGGAAAACACACTCCAGGATACTCTCCAGGAGAACTTCCCAAGCCAAGCAAGGCTAGGGAAGAAATACAGAGAACTGTATTTCTTCATTCAAATTCAAGAAATACAGAGAATTCCACAAAGATATTCCTCAAGAAGAGCAATCCCAAGGCACATAATCGTCAGATTCACCAGGGTTGAAATGAAGGAAAAAATGCTAAGGGCAGCCAGGGAGAAAGGTCAGGTCACCCACAGAGGGAAGCCAATCATATTCACAGCAGAGCTCTCGGCAGAAACCCTACAAGCCAGAAGAGAGTGGGGGCCAATATTCAACATCCTTAAAGAAAAGAACTCTCAACCCAGAATCTCATATCCAGCCAAACTAAGCTGCATATGTGAAGGAGAAATAAAATCCTTTATGGACAAGCAATTACTAAGAGATTTCGTCACCACCAGACCTGCCCTACAAGAGCTCCTGAAAGAAACATTAAGCACGGAAAGGAACAAGTACCAGTTACTGCAAAAGCAAACCAGTTGGCAAAGACCAAAAATGCAATGAAGAAAATGAGTCAACTAATGGGAAAGAAAACCAGCCGGTAAAAAAATGGCAGGATTAAATTCACACATAACAATATTAACATTGAATGTAATGGCCTAAATGCCCCAATCGAAAGACACAGACTGGCAAATTGGATAAAAAGTCAAGACCCATCAGTGTGCTGTATTCAGGAAACCCATCTCACATACAAAGACACACATAGACTCAAAATAAAGGGATGGAAGAAGATTTACCAAGCAAATGGAAAACAAAAAAAAAAGCAGGGGTTGCAATCCTAATCGCTGGAAAAATGGACTTCAAACCAACAAAGATCAAAAGAGACAAAGAAGGACACTACATAATGGTAAACGAATCAATCCAACAAGAAGAGCTAACTATCCTAAATATATACACACCCAATACAGGAGCACCCAGATACATAAAGCAAGTTCTTAATGACCTAAAACAAGATTTAGATTCCCACACAATATAGTGGGAGACTTCAACACTCCACTGTCAATATTAGACAGATCAACAAGACAGAAAATTAACAACGATATCCAGGACTTGAATGCAGAGCTGGACCAAGCAGACCTAATAGACATATACAGAATGCTCCACCCCAAATCCACAGAATATACATTTTTCTCAGCACCACATTGCACTTACTCTAAAATTGACCACATCATTGGAAGCAAATTACTCCTCAGCAAATGCAAAAGAACAGAAATCATAACGAACAGTCTGTCAGACCACAGAGCAATCACACTAGAACTCAGGATTAAGAAACACACTCAAACCCGCACAACCACTTGAATAACTTGCTTCTGAGCGTCAACTGGATAAACAATGAAATAAAAGCAGAAATAAAGATGTTCTTTGAAACCAATCAGAATGAAGACACAACTTACCAGAATCTCTGGGACACCTTTAAAACAGTGTCAAGAAGGAAATTTATAGCAATAAATGCCCACATGAGAAACAAAGAAAGATCTAAAATTGACACCCTGTCATCAAAATTGAACGAGCTAGAGGAGGAAGATCAAAAAAACTCAAAAGCTAGCAGAAGACAAGAAATAACTAAGATCAGAGCAGAACTGAGGGAGACCGAGACACAAAAAACCCTTCAAAAAAATCAATAAATCCAGGAACTGGTTTTTTGAAAAGATCAACAAAATAGACC